GCAGCTGGGCTTTTGGCTTTGAGTTCGCAGTTTTTGGGCCTTGAGGTGGACATGAGCTGGCAAGGTCAGGTAAGCGGTCCTTGGTAGCCCAGTAACTATATTACAATAAGGGCACCCTTTTTTTTGGCTTGGTTACTTTATCAGGGAACCCAAACCAAAAAGAAAAAAGGAAAGGGTACAACTGGGCTACCAAGGGTCTAGGATGCAGGTAGCGACAAGCTATGTCGGTATTTGCTAAACACGAGGCCCTAAGATGTGCTGTCTGAATTGACTGGGCAAGGTTCCCTGAAGTAGGGCCCCTTTCTCAGGTACCTCTACTATATTACGGTTCCCCCCCAAAAAAAAGAACTGAAACCCTAACTTCCTGTAGGGCACCTTGGGGCATATATAATACTGTCGATTGTACTGTCAAGGGGTTTGTGGATCTGGGCATTTCGGATTGGGGGGCTGCGAGATCTACCGTGGGGTTGATTTCAGATGCGTAGAAGATGCCAACTGAGTGCAGAATCTCTGGACAGGCCACCCAACAGGGACTTATCTAACCTAGTCGCTGCTGTTTGCCTCCGTTCTTAAATAGTAAGCCCCAAAAGGGGCCATAATTTAGCAAAGCCACCAAACACTGAGAGTTCTCAATTTCGTGAGGGGGCGTTGAAGGGGGGGGGCTCAAGGTGGGCTCAGGGGAGGGCAGAACACGGAGAACTGCCAAACCCTGAATTCGAAACCCTAAACCCTTAACCCTAAACCCTAAACCCTATATTATAAACCCTAAACCTTAACCCCTAAACCCTAAACCCTGAACCCTGAACCCTAAACCCTGCTAGGGCATGTCGGGTTCAGCCAAGTCCTTTCGGTCATCGCCGGCGGTCGCAAAGTCTTCCAGGATGCCCCGCTGACCTTACAATACTTCTGGGGGGGGGGGGCGTTGTTCGGTTTAGGGTTTAGGGTTTAGGGTTTAGGGTTTAGGGTTTAGGGTTTAGGGTTTAGGGTTTAGGGTTTAGGGTTTAGGGTTTAGGGTTTAGGGTTTAGGGCTTAGGGTTTAGGGTTTAGGGTTTAGGGTTTCGGGGCTTGAGGTCCCTGCTGTTCACAACGTTTCTGTGAAGCAGCGTGCAACAGTGCAACCTTCCAAGCCCCTGGGGGACCAAGAACCCAAACAGTGGGTTCATATACCTGATACCACTATAATTCCTACTAAGGTACATGAACCCTAAACAATGGACCCTCAACCCTCAACTCGAGACCCTGAACCCTGAACCCTGAACCCTGAACCCTGAACCCTGAACCCTAAACCCTAAACCCTAAACCCTAAACTCTTTTAGGGGCCATTTCGCCCCCCAAGGCCAAGGTGCTAATGCCGTGCTCTGCGCAGAGAAGCTTCCAGAACTCTGCACCGATCTGGTTGCCACATTGCCCCACCTGAGCGGTTGCTTGTTGAATGCAGCAAACAATAGCATACTACAGAATACTATATAGTATACTATATAGTATACTATAAAAAATACTATAGTATACTATATAGTATACTATCTAGTTATATAGTATACTATATAGTATACTACAAAGTATACTATAGTATACTATAGTATACTATAGTATACTATAGTATACTATAGTATACTATAGTATGGTATCGTATACTATAGTATACTATAGTATGGTATCGTATACTATGGTGCACGATAGTGCCCGAAGATGCTTTGTTGTGGACGAACGCCCATCGTGTTTTCTGCAGCAGGCGCTTGTGAGGCATTCCGCAACGGGACGCTGCTTCTACCAGAAAACAGTATCACACAGCAGGCGATGAGCTGGTCCCTAGCTCCTTGTACCTTAGCAACATGAATCTTTTGCGGATGAGAGACCAACCTGCAAGCAACCTTGAATCTACCCAGAAAAGCAAAAGTATGGAATCAGATACGAACCTCCCAAAAACTCTATTCGAAATATTAAGCCCCCCCCCCTCCATGGTACTGCTACCATACACCCTGAGACACTAAACCCTAAACCATATAATCTATACAAGATTTCACAGGAATTAGAACGGAACACCTAGAGCAGAGCCCCAAAGTCCACAACCCCCAAGTCTACACATATTATACTATAGTATACTATAGTATACTATAGTATACTATAGTATACTATAGTATACTATAGTATACTATAGTATACTATGGTAGACTATAGTCTACTATAGTATACATTAGTACTGTAGTATACTAGAGTGCATACTATAGTATAGTACAAGATACTATAGTATCCTCTAGTATACGTTCGCATACTTGAGAACTCTAAATCGCTTGACTTGGCCTTTACAATGTGTGTGTGTGTGTGCGTTTGGTTTTCCTCAAGGGTCGGCAGGGCGAGCAATGCTTTTGTGTTGCGTAGTCCGGGCTTTCGTCCCAACCCTAAACCCTAAACCCTAAACCACTGAAATTTATTATACCCCAGTAAGGGCCATAAGGCATCTCCCCAAGCCCGCGAAAACCTACACCCTTTCTTGTTCATGAGGGTTGCCCGATGAACCCTCAAACCCTGCGCCCACTACAGCCCTGTAATGTTTAGGGTTTAGGGTTTAGGGTTTAGGGTTTAGGGTTTAGGGTTTAGGGTTTAGGGTTTAAGGTTTAAGGTTTAGGGGGGCAGATCCATGGTGGAGCCTGCAATGTGATGATCTCGCGGGGCATCGCCGGAAGGCCTTCGTCAGCCTGAGTGGGAGAGGGGGCTTAGGGGCTTGAAGTTTTATGGTTTTTTTAGAGTTTAGGGTTTAGGGTTTAGGGTATGGAGTTTAGGGTTTAGGGTTTAGGGTTTAGGGTTTAGGATCAGCTTAGGGCTATATAGGGTCTATAGTAGTCCTAGGTTTCGGGTCGACGGTTCGAGGTAATTGCGCCCAAGCAGGGCTCTAAGGTCGACGTCTGGCTGCAAGCAGCGAGCACATAGCAGGATTTTTTCGACCACGTGGCATAGCAGAAGGCTCGCTGTGGTCCTAAACCCTAAACCCTAAACCCTAAACCCTAAACCCTAAACCCTAAACCCTCAATGCCAGCCTTCCTATGCAATTGCCTAGATGATCCCTTCAGAATGCTGGGGGTACGTACTATGGTCCCTATTCAGGACTTTTCGTGTAAGGGGAACATCCCAACCCCTAAACCCTACGCCCTAAAGCCTAAAGCCTAAACCCTAAACCCTCAACCCCTAACCCCTAAACCCTAAACCCTAAACCCTAAACCCACCTGAACCCAAGAAATCCTTGAGCCCCGAAGCCCAGCCCTTGCGGAAGCCACGGGTTTCCTCTCAAAGAAGCACCTCGACTCAGGGTTTAGGGTTTAGGGTTTAGGGTTTAGGGTTTAGGGTTTAGGGTTTAGGGTTAGGGTTTAGGGTTTAGGGCTTAGGGTTTAAGGCTGCTAGGGTTGGGAGTCCCGAAAGTTTAGGGCTTTGGGTTTTCAATCTCTTTGACCTAGAGCCTCAAACCTAGACCCTCTGAACTCTGAATCGCAGCCCCTGTAAACCCTGCACCCGAAACCATAAACCCGAAACTCTAAACCTAAACCCTAAACCCTAAAGCCCTTTGAACCCCAGGGGAGTGCCAAAGAGCTGCTGTCAAGCGAAAACGAAGTCCGCCCAGGACATCTCCACGGCAGACTCTTCTGCTCTAGGGGTAAGGGTTTAGGGTTTAAGGTTTGGGGTTTATGGGTTAGGTTTAGAGTTTGGGGGGGCTCAGGGTTTCGGGGCCACCTACCTGCTGGGACTTTAGGATGAAAACAAACTGAAGGCTTCATGTGGGCATTAACTATAGGGTTTAAAGCCCAGCAGGTGTAAAGATTTTAGGGTTTCAGGGAGATGCTTTCGTGGATGGCGCTGGAACCTCAGTACGCCACACCCGAGACGCTTGATGCCTGTCCATGCCTGTGTGGCTTTTTGGCGCTCCCATGTTTTTAAGCGTCAACGCTCTGAGCCATGTAGGATATCACAAGGAATGGCAGCTGCACGCTCTAAAACAGCTGTTTCCTGCCTTTTGGGATGCATTCCAGACCTAAATGCTAAACCCGACTTCCCGAATAGCTTTTGCTTGAGAATGCTTCTCAGACTTCAAAGCCGCAAATCCAGCTACCGAAGCCGGAATGAACTCGTCCATCCGGGGCTGTTTTGGCAGGTTTGTTTAGGGTCTAGGGTCTAGGGTCTAGGGTCTAGGGTCCAGGGTCTGGGGTTTAGGGTTTAGGGTTTGGGTTCGGCAGTAACCTATATAGGAAGAACAAACAAGGAAACCATGTTTGCTTGATGGGGCTTCTTTATCAGCGTACCTAGGGTGTATAAGCTCCTACAACCCAACACAGGCTGAAAATTCCAGTAGAACTAGCGCTGGCTGGTATGAGGAAGGATGAGATTCTCTTGCTAGGGTTTAGGGTTTAGGGTTTAGGGTTTAGGGCTTCAGGGGATTCAAGGGGTCTAAGCTTTAGCCTGTCAGGGGCCTGGGATTGTCGGAGTGGGGATCTAGAGTGGTGATGGTGGGGAATGCGCCCCCTTATGCAATAAGCTGGTTGCCGACCGACCCAAACCCTAAGGCCAAAACCTGGATGTCCTACATACACCCCAAATACCCGGGAGCCTTTCATGTAAAGCTCTAAAACACTAAACCCTAAACCCTCACATACAAACGGTGATACGTTTGTTGGGTCGTCCTGTCTGTGCAAGTGATGCAAAGCAGCACACTATGGGCTCTTAATTTGGGTCCCTTGTCATATAATCCTTTCTGCACACGATGAAAAAAAACAAGGGCCGATACTTCGGATCCCTATCAAGAAGGGTAAGGGGCCATACTAAGGGCCCCTGGCTACAACCAAAGACACTGGGACAACCTGAAGGTAAGAGTTTAGGGTTCAGGGGGTCGCAGGACAACATACACAAAGAGTTTCTTGCACCAGTGGTGCTGGCCTGTAGCTTGCCAAGCCATTGGCCAAAACATCGGTGTAACACTGCACAATGACAGCGACAGCCCCAACTGAGCACCAAGCAGGAGGGCTGCTGAGAAGTCCGCTTGCCTGCATCTCCATGCGACAAGAATGTCAAGCCATGCCTGAACCACGAACCAGTGCGAAGGCGGCCAGAAGACCCGCATAAAGCCGCTTGAAGCCAGCACTTTGCTCAGCATTTCAACCGACCAAGTTTTTGTAAGTCGAGTGTCCAGTCTGGCCAAGTTATGCATTTCCCTGCAAGACCGTGCAAGCTAACACCCCCCCCCCCCCCCCCCCGGCTGCGTCAGCCCCTACTCCTTCCCCCGCCCCCCACCGTGTCAGCCCCCATGGCACTGCTGGACTGAGGGTGGAGGGTGTTTGGCTTTCCGCGCGCCTGGTCACGATGACCTTGTAGACTGTCCTGCAAAGCCCGGCCACCAACTCGTGCAAAGCCGAAGCCCTGACCTCAACCACAAATCCTCAGTTCGAAGCTGAACAGACCAATGTGCAGATGTAATAAAGACATCACAGGCGGTTTATTGAACCCAAATTAAGATATATAAACCCTAAACCCTAAACCCTAAACCCTAAACCCTAAACCCTAAACCCTCAACCCTAAACCCTAAACCCTAAACCCTAAACCCTAAACCCGAACTGCCAGTCCTGTCATCTTGGGAGCCAGTCCCGAAGGCTTCGGGTGGTGCCACTTCCTGCTGCGCGCGGGCGTGCGTGGGCGTAGGATTCAGGGGTTTAGGGGGGATTTAGGGGTAGAGGGTGTTGGGGTTTGAGGAGCTTAAGGGTTTAGGGGCTCAGAGGTTTAGGGGCTTAGAGGTTTAGGGGTTCAGGAATCAAGGGGTTTAGGGTTCACGAGAAAGGCAAAGCCCAATTTAGCCTCTTTTTGGGTCTGAAGAAATAGTGTACATCTGGTTCCAGCCCCCTTTGTCAGGGTGAGCTTTCACGCTCTTGGGCGAAACCCCGGCGGATCCGGCGCACATGGCGAGGAACCCCCGGTGTTTCAAGCCCCGATTCAGCAGATTCCCCATGGCCTGCTGCTGGGCGCGCTTTCCGCCATGCAAACGCCTTGAAGCTCTTTCTCCTAAACCCCAAACACCAAACCCTAAACCCTAAACCCCAAACTCTAAACCGTTTAGTGCTAAGAGGTCTCCGAAGGCCAAGTCGCAGTGAGATATCGTCCAGTAGCGCCTGAGGATCCCCTCAGGAACCAGAAGCCCGGAACCCCATAAACTGCGAAGAGACGAACCCTAAACCCTAAACCCTAAACCCTAAAAGATCAGCCGAAACCATAAACCCTGAACCTCAACACGCACATCCGAACCCTGATGGTGCTGCAGCTTGAACCCTACAGAAGCACCTTGAACAGATCAGACATAGCTAAACCCTAAACCCTAAACCCTAAACCCTAAACCCTAAACCCTTATCTTTTCTATCAGAACCATAAGCCCATAGCCAGAAATCGAGCCTCCCCGTCCCCCGGAACTTGCCCAGAAGCAGGCCGGGCAGGCGACTAGAATGGTGCGAACCAGCAGCTCTGAAGGTGTCCTTCAGAAGCTTCGGATTCTGGGGTTTCGGGCTGAGGGTTTAGGATTCAGGGTTTGGGGTTTAGGGTTTAGGGTTTAGGGCTCAGGCTTTGCGGATTCAGGGATCCGGTGTAGTGGCGAGGGTTCGGGCCTGGGGGGTTAGACTCACCTTCCGAGAGCCTTTCCTCCTACATTTTGGCCCTCAGCCCTTCCCAAACCCTCTTAGTTGTCCAGTACCTAGGGGTTTTAAAGGTTAACCTTTGGGATTATAAGGTGAATATAATACCCCAAAAAGGTTAAAGGTTACCTACTCTACTACTAAGCCCTAAATCCGAAAACCGAAACCCCAAAACCCCAAGTTACAAGACGCTGAATCAAAACCCCTGAGCCTTGACCAAAACCCTGCACCAAAAACCGTGCCCGAAAAGCCCTCATAAAATCTCAAAACCCTAACCCCTGAAACAGCGCCCTTAAATGCTAAAAACTTCCAAACCCTGTAATAATTCTTGCCTGAACCCGAACTAGCCGCAAACACCTGAAACCTATCCCAGAACCCGTGCCCTAAAAAACTGAAAGCCCAGAAATCCTAAGCCCTGAACCTCAAACCACAACTTGGTAGACCAGTAACCAGAATTTACAGAGGGTACCATCTCGAGGGTTGGTTGCCGCATGAGGGAACCTAGAACCAAAAAGAGGGGCAAAAGGGTGCTACCGACAAGGTGAATGGGGGTTTACGAAAGTAGGGGACCCCGAATATTGACCCCGAAAATAGTAGGGTCCCGTCATAATAAGGACCCCAAAAAGATACCCCTAATTTCGGAAACCCTAAAGCCTCAACCCTGAACCCTAAACCCTAAACCCTAAACCCTAACCCCCAAACCCCCAAACCCCCAACCCCTAAACTCGGAAACCCCCAAATACCAACTCAGCTTCCCACCCACCCAGCTGCAGGGTGTGTACCGCGGGCTTGCCCTGAGCAGTAAGGAGCCAAGGCTTGCGCAGGCTCTAGGGTTCGGGGTTTAGGGTTTAGGGTTTAGGGTTTAGGGTTCAGGGTTTCGGGACACCAGGACATGCCTTGGTGGATCACATCTTCGATTTTTTTGGGCTAGTGGAACAAGACAGTCGCGCCGGGAATGCAAAGATGGAACTCGCTTGGGGTCTGGGTAACGGTAAACTCTGAGGCCCGAAGCTCTATTGCCCGTTTCTTCGTAGGCTTTTCCCGGTCGACATGACAAGTTCCACGGCGAATGCTGACGGACAAACGAGAGGAAACTACCAAGAACAAGTGCCCTAAACCCTCACAGAGACTGAGTCCCCCCGCCAAATAAGGGAGGACTTGCTCCACAGGACCGTCATCCAATCACAAGACAGTGACTATCGAACCGATTGTTGTTCATGCGTACCCCACAGCGTTACCCTCCAAACGCGAAGAAGATTCAAAACCTCTCTAGTTCCTTTTTGGAATAGCTACACCCAAAATCCGTCCTAAAGACACAAAAAAAACAGCCCAAGTCCTAAACCCTACACCCGGAACCTTGACCATCCCTGAACCCTAAACCCTAAACCCTAAAAAATGAACCCTAAACCCTAAACCCTAAACCCTAAAAACTGAACCCTAAACCCTAAACCCTAAACCCTAAAAACTGAACCCTAAACCCTAAACCCTAAACCCTGAAAAGCACCTCGCAAGAAGATCTTACTCTGCATCCGAGCTGCGGCTTTGTATGCAACGGCTTCACCACCCCTGACAGGGCTTAGGCATGAATTAGGATCCTTTGTTTCAGGTTTAGGGTTTAGGGTTTAGGGGTTAGGGTTAGGGTGTAATTAGGGGGTTAGGGTTTAGGGTTTAGGGTTTAGGGTTTAGGGTTTCGGGTTTAGGGTTCCGTATGCGTGGGGATATGAAGGCGGGCCCCAGCGAATTTTCTAGGAAACCTTTCATAGCCCAGCAGGCCAGGGCCATGGGGCGTTTGCTGCACACATGCGGGCTACCCACCTTAAGCCGCCTTGCCGCAAACCCTGTCACCCTAAACCCCTAAACTCCAAGTTCCCAAAGCTTCTTAGCACCCTTCCGACTCACGTTGGCTAAGCCCTAAACCCCCAAAGCCTCCCCTAAACCCTACCCGGCTCTACCCAAAGGCTCCTATGTAGAACTTTTTTGGGGTACTGTAGCAGACGAGCATCCCCTGTAGCCAACCCAAAAAGGAACTACATTGGAGCCTTCAGGTTAGACACTAAATCCTCAAGCGCAGCTGAGGATAGGGCACTGTGATGACCGGATAGAAATCTGGACCTTGGCACGTACACAAGGGGACTGACGACAGAAGGGTTTAGTTTGGGTTTGGGAGTTGGTTGGGTTTAGGGTTTAGGGTTTGGTTTTTAGGGGTGTATGGTTTGCGGTCCTTCTGAAGAGGGAGGACTACGTCAAAGTGACGTAATAGAGACATATAGAGATTGACCTAAACTGCAAGTCCCGTTTTGATACCTTGCACGATGCTGTCCCATACAGCATAGCCGCTGTCCTGAATCTCCCAAACCCTAAATCCTAAATCCGAAACCCTGAGCACTTTATCCTCACCCTGAACAGCCACAAGAAACAAAGGAAACTGGGGGACCGGCTCAAGTAGCGGCCGAAGTTGATGTCAGCCTCAAAGGTAAGGTCGGCAACAAACTTCTCGAGGAAGACCTTCCAACAGCCCCACTTGGCGGTGCATGAGTCAGTAGATACGTCTGAGGGTGGGGGGGGGGGGGGGGGGGGGGGAGGGGGTCAGGGGGAGGGTACAAGTAGGGTAACTTTTGGTATAAACCGTTAGAAGCTGTACCCTGTTTTGAATTGGGGGTTCAAGGCATAGGTACTTCTCACATCCATTGGCCTTCCTGTGCAAGCTGGTTCAGGATTCAAGCCGTACCTGTCTACAGCCCAACACTCTAAACATGAATCACAATTAGTCTAACCCGAAGGGTCCATGTACTATGTACCTATATAGTTTTTGCTTGGCCCTCGAAGGGATTCCTACATAGAACCTTTAGGGCTCAAGTATATACTATATGGGTACCGGTAACGACTGCTATCCGTTCCTCATTCCTGACTCACCTGCAAGCACTAGAAGCCTAGAAGAGTCCTCCTGAAAACGCTAAACCCTAAACCCTAAACCCTAAACCCTAAACCCTAAACCCTAAACCTTAAACCCTAAGGGTTTTGGGGTTCAGGGTTTGGGGCTTTAGCTTTAGCGCTTGCACCCTACATCGAAAACCCTGACCCCTAAACTCTGTATGCTTCGGAGGAGGGAGCCCGAAGCGCTAAACCCTAAACCCTGCACCCCATATAACCCTAAACCCTAAACCCTGAACCCTAAACCCTAAGCCTGGTAGGAGGTGTCGTTGGACGCGAAGTCGTGATCCCAGGTCCCAGCAGAACTGCGCAAGTCTTGGAGCTTGCTGTAGTACCTGCTGGGCTTCTTCTGTTTTGTTTATATGGGTTTGAGGGTTCTTGGGATTAGGGTTCTAGGGTTTTAGGGTTCTAGAGTTTTAGGGGGGGGGGGGGTTCTAGGGTTTTAGGGTTCTAGGGTTTTAGGGTTCTAGGGTCGAGGTCTATGGTTCTAGGGATGAGGGGTTTGTAGGCTTTAGGCCTTAAGCCATAGTACCTGCTGGGCGTCTGGGCTTCTTGGTTTGAGGATTTGAGGTCTGGGCCCTAGGCTGCAGTAGCTTGCTGGCCGTCTGGTTTTCCTGGCAGGGATACCCTGTCCACTCTTGCGGCTCAAGGCTTGCGGTCGCCACGCATGTGACGGAACTTCCGCTTCAGGTCTGTGGAAGGAGCGGGCCGGGAACTGGGGGAAGCTCTTGTGCTGCCTTGCTGAACTGCAAAGCCCAGAACCCAAACAGAAATGCGTGGTACAGAGGCCCATTCGGCTTCAGGGTTCAGGGTTCACCCTGAACCCTGTGGCCTATGAACTCCGACCCCGAACAAGACTTGGAATCCTATGTCCCTCTTTCAGGTTGTAAAACCCTTCCTAAGAAACTGCACGGGGGGGGGGGGGGGGGGTAGAACCCAGATTCGGGGGGTGGGGGGGGTGTAGAACCCAGATTCCTCACCCCTACCCTAAACCCTAAACCCTAAACCCTAAACCCTAAACCCTAAAACCTAAATCCTAAACCCTAAACCCTAAACCCTAAACCCTAAACCCTAAACCCTGAACCCCTCAATCCCGTGTATCCTAACATCGCCTACAGCCAGGCATGCAGAGGGGGCCTCTCGGCCACCGACTGCGGCGCGAACGCCTCCGAGCCCGCAAATAAATTTTGGGCGTTTAGAGCTTTCAGCTTTTGGACCTTGGGGAACCCTGTGTCCGAATACCCTAAACTACCCAAATTTTTGTACACTTTCTTATAAACTTCTGAATCAGACGTCTGCTCTTTAAGGAGTTTTGGAACTGGGCACCTAAGACCGCCTTAGGCTACTTTGTTAAAGGAATTTGCGGCGGGGGGATTCGGTCTCTTACATCCCAGGGTGCCGATGACTACGTTCTCCAAAACTGGAAAAAACCCTTAACCCTAAATTTTATGAACTCAAGCATGCCTACAATGTTCAGCTGGGAACCAGCGACTGCCAGGGGCTCAACCTCTTAACCTCCCAAGCCTCTCAATCTCCAATGGATTCAGCCCGCAACCCCTTTTATGTGCTTCTTACTCCTTGATGAACTTACTTTGCAGATGCAAAAGGTACCGCAAAACCTCAACCCTAAACCCTAAACCCTAAACCCTAAACCCAGAACATGGAGGGCCCCGGCACAGCAAATGGCGAGATAAAAGGCATACCGCTTCATCGTCCATCAGCGCTCGTCGGTGGATGCAGCCCTCTACCTCCAGTTACCTGCTTCCTTCGGGTGAATGGGTTTAGGGTTTAGGGCTTAGGGCTTAGGGCTTAGGGTTTAGGGTTTAGGGTGTTACCTGGTTCCTTTGGGTGAATGGGTTTAGGGCTTCTCTGTTTTAGGGGCTTAGGGGTTGGAATTCGACTCAAGGGCTTATAACTATACAACCAGCTGCCACATTCTTTAGGGTATGGGGGTTGCGGTTCTTGATTGGCCCTATACCTCCAGGTACCTGATTCTTGAGGGGGTTAGGTCTGAGGCATTGGGATGTCAGGTTTAAGTTCTCGGGATTCGGGCCTTAGAGCTCTTGCCCGGCCTTAATGCGATTACATATTCCGTTGCTTCACTATTGGGCTCTGACTAATTAGTTATGATTCGGGCGGTTTGTGCTCTAGGGGTAGGGGTTCAGGGACTGAAGCCTAGGCTTGGGTTTAGGGTTTAGGGTTTGGGGTTTAGGGTTTGGGGTTTAGGGTTTTGGGTTTGTGGTTTAGGGTTAACGATTTGTGATGCTAATTAGGGTTTTTGCAGAGCTTACTTCTTTGAGGCTTCTTGTTCAGTCATCTGCTCTGTGCCGACATGGCTCGAGGTCGGCTGGGCTTGCTACAAGAAATCGAGAGTCGGCAAAACGTGTTGCACACTAACTAATTCGGATGGCGCTTGAAACCCTCTGAAAAAACACACGCAAACACAATCCCAACAAGGGAAAAAAATCCCGAGGCCCTGCCTAGCTACGCTCGTGGAACGAACATGCTGGCAAGCCCGTCTAGCAGGCAAGCCGCAAGTGGCTGTTCATGACATGGTGCTAAAGATCACACGCGCACGAAACATCTGCACAGCGCCGATTCAAGTTTTCGACACTACGAGCAGCACAAGAGCTGTAGAGCTGGAAAATCTTGCCCCGCTTGTCTCTCGAATTCCAGGCAGCGCCACGATCTTCATGGAAGCTCCGGATGTCATAATGCGTGCATCTCTCTCTACCGCTGCTTGAAGCTTGGCAATCTCAGCAGCCTTCTTAAACTCTCGAGTTTAAGAATGGGGTTTGTTTGGGATATCTTGAGTGTACTCAAAACATGCCTTCGGCCGGAACAACTAACTTAGGGTTATAGTAGGGTTTAGGTTTTAGGGGTTTTGTGCTTTCAGTATTTAGGGCTTGTTTGGTGTCGAGGTGTGGGCTTTGGCTGTGGTGCTTCCCCAAACCCTAGCCTTTTTTGAACCCTAAACCCTAAACCCTAAACCCGAAACCCGAAACCCTGAACCCGAACCCTAAACCCTAAACCCTAAACGATCCGGCCTCTGCAAAGTCTCGACTTACTCCTCAGGGCGGCGCTTTGTCCGCAGCGACCTCGTCCTTGCCGGCCTCGGCTTCGCCCAGCTCACCTGAGTGCAGGGTTTAGGGTTTAGGGTTTAGGGTTTAGGGTTTAGGGTTGAGGGTTGAGGGTTGAGGGTTGAGGGCTGAGGGGTTTAGGGGTTCGGGTTCAGGGTGGCTTAGGGCTTGCTTGCTTGCAACGAGCATTTCGCGCAGAGTCAACTTAAGCCTGCAAGCTCACGACAAAACGGGCAACTACAGCCAGTAACCTCAAAGCATCGGACACTCGGCCAACACCCATAGCTAGAACTCCAGATGGCCCTCACAGCTCCGCAAGAGAAAAGAAGAAAGATCGAGTAAGAGAAAGAGAGAGAGAGAGAGAGAGTGAGAAACAATGAAAAAAAGTGAAAAAACTAAAATGACAACAACAGACCTGTCCCCTCTGGTGAGAGGAGGAAAGGGATTGAGAGAGAAGCCCACAACTAAGGGGCATACCTTGCGTTTACTATCCCTATGTATCCTAACTAGCCCCAAAACAGCAACTACGTGGTTCTCTAAATTAGGATCACATTTGGGTACCTCAAATATTCGGGGCTGTAGCAAAGCAGGGATCCCAAAAAGGGACCATCATTCGAGAACTCACCAAAATATCCCTGGTTGTCCAGTATCCTAGGGGAACTAAAGGTTAACCTTTGGGATTTTTTAGGGGTTACCCCGAAAGAATAGTTGGGGTATCTACTGTACTACTAAGTAACCCTAGATTCCCTTATCCCTCCCTAGACCCAAGAGTAACCTAGGAATAATAAAAATATATCCAAACCCTGAAAAAGGCAATGAGGGCCTACTCTGGGTGCTAGTAGCCCTAAACCCTAAACTCTAAACCCTAAACCCTAAACCTAAACCCTAAACCCTAAACCCAAAACCCTAAACTTTGCCATAAACCCTGAACATGTGATCAGCTCAGACTAGCGACCCTCAGGTGGAGCGCTCGCCGCCTCAGGCGAGGCTGGCCGAGAAGGATCCTTCAATCTCAGGGTTCAGGGTTATAGGGTGTAGGGTTTAGGGTTTAGGGCTAGGGTTTAGGGTTTGGGGTTCAGGGTTTAGGGTTTAGGGTTTAGGGTTTAGGGTTTGGGATTTAGGGGTTTAGGGTTTAGGGTTCAGGGTGTACGGCTAGGGTTTGTTTTTTTAAAGGCACAGGGTTCCGAAGTCGAAAGGCAAACAGGAAACCTCAAACCCTCAGCCTCTGTTACGCCGAGCTAGGGTTTTGATTTTAACCCCTTAACTCGGGATGCTCCTTCTGCTAACAGTCCTTAGTAGGGATTATGATAGGGGTACTATAACCCTAAACCCTAAACGCTAAACCCCCAACCCTGGTAAGGACTCTTAGTACAAGGGGGAGCATCTCAAGTTCAACCCCTTATCCTAAACTCCTCCTTCAGCCCTGACCCTCGCACCCTAAAACCCGAACTCGGCATCCAGCACCCGAAGCCCGAAAACCCCTGAAACTGAACCCCAAACCCCAAACCCTAAACCCTAAACCCCAAACCCCAAACCCATAACCCTAAACTCTGAGCCCTAACCCTAAACCCTAAACCCTAAACCCTAAACCCTAAACCCTAAACCCTAAACCCTAAACCCTAAACCCTAAACCCTAAACCCTAAACCCTAAACCCTAAACCCTAAACCCTACCCCCTGGATGTCCTCATCCGGCTCTTCTTCGTCGTCGTCGCCCTCTTTCGCCGTCAGTGCCTCCCGGATGGCCTTGCAGCAGCATAGGTCGCCAGAGCCCTAAGCCCCTTAGCAAACCCTAGAACCTGCAACCGAGGGCTTTGGGGTTGTAACTCCCTAAACCCTAAACCCTAAACCCTAAACCCTAAACCCTAAACCCTAAACCCTAAGCCCCGAAAATCTGACTTTCAGTTTGTTTGCGGGTCTTTGGGGGACTGAGAGTCGATGTCAGTACCTCTCCATCGAGAACTGTCGTGAACGTTGGGTAGCAGCCTACACATGTGTAAGGGGGTTCAGGGTTCAGGGGCGTTTAGGGTTAGGGTTTGGGGTTTAGGGTTTAGGGTTCAGGGTTTAGGGTTTAGGGTCTAGGGTTTAGGGTTTAAGGGTTTAGGGAGTTTCATGAGGGACTACGGCGGTTTGGGCCTGGTGTATAGGCGGTTTGGAGTTTTGGGGTTGCAGCTTTGGGCTCAGGGTCCATGACTGTCGGTAGCGATGTCTCAGTTGGAACTGTAGGGTCTTGTGGGCCGACCTGGGACCCTCTCTACCTACAGTTTTCTGGGTTATACCTACTAATTAAGGGCAGTTACTTCTAAACTGTACGTAAACAGGGTCTCAGGAAGGGCCCAGGGCTTAGGGTTTGGGTCTGAGCTTAGTCGGAGCCTCCACGATCTTCGTGTGCCCGCAGTCGGCGGCCAACGACATGGGCGTGTAGCCGAAAATGTCCTGACAACCCTAAACCCCAAACCCAAAACCCTAGCCCCTAAACCCTAAACCCGAAACCCCATGCTGTGCCGAATAACGCGACATCCCAAGCCTTGATGGCCGATGTGCAATGTTGTTCTTAGTCTTTGCGTGCTACGGTCTAAGGAGGGCGTCTATAGTAACTAGGAAAGTCTAGACCTGAACCCTAAACCCTAAACCCTAAACCCGAAACCCTAAACCCTAAACCCTAAACCCTAAACCCTAAACCCTAATCTCATCAACCGAGCTTCCTCTGCTTGTATGTGCCGTCTTCGAAATCTCTCATGCCTTGGCTGCCGAATCGCAAGGTTTGCAGCTTGGAATCTTCCCCCTCAACCTAAACAAGTCCTTAGTAGGGTTTATGGGTTACGTCTTAGGACTTTAGGGCTATAGCCGACTATAGCATACTCAGCAAGGCACGCGGCTAATATATAGGGGTGGGAATAATTCCGAAAAACACTCCCATGTGCTTTAATAACCCCCAAAACCCTGTTCTAATTGCTAAGGCTCCTACAATACGCAGCTCTACTGTCACATAAAGCACTTAAGCTCATTGCATGTCCCCCACTTTCCGTATAGAAGAGCGGCGCTAAGAGCAGTCTCGCCGTGGGCTCGTCACCCCAGCAGGCGATGTAGTGCAGGGCATTGCGGCCCTCAAGGTCCTCGAAACATTGGCTTCCGAGTTCGTGTTAGTTACTTATACTCCGAGTTTAGGTTTCTGGAAAAATTTGGGATGTGGGGGTTGCTTCGGAGTATGGGCTACTTATAGGGTGGAGTTTGGGTACTTGGATGTGGGTTGATGGGGTTCAGGTTTGGGGCTTGGGATTTAAGGCTGGGGGGTTGAGAGTTTTGAAGAAGGGGCGTTCGGGGTTGGGGGCGTCTTGACGGTGCAAGTTTGCTGTACTACTACTTGCTATAGGGGGATTAATTATTATGTTTCATGCTTTTTTGTGGGGGGATGCAAATAGCACCTAGTGTATGTCCATGCTGCAGGTAGGCCTTCTTGTACACGGCCTGGAAGCACTTGGATTTCAGAAGGATCGTCGCGCACTCCTTAGCCGAAGCACGGCCGTGTTAGACGGGATGAGTCTGAGCCACGAGTGGTACTTGGAGGTTGATGTGTACCATGAAACCCTAAACCCTAAACCCTAAACCCTAAACCCTAAAACCCTAAAACCCTAAACCCGTTTGAAAGAAGACTAGTGCACGAATGGTCGGAATCGTCGGAACAGGCACCATCAGGTCACCTCAAAGAAAGGAACCCTGAGAGTCCATGTCCCAGTATGGTATATAGCTGGGCCCCACAGCTACTACTTAGTTGTCCAGTACCTAGGGGTTTTAAAGGTTAACCTTTGGGATTATAAAGGTTAAAGGTTACCTACCCTACTACTAAGACTATATGCGAAACCCCTCTGAAGCCATGTATATATACATATATACATATAGGTGCATGGACCCTTCTCTAAATTATGGTTCCATTTTGGGCGCCCTGAATACTAGGGGCCGCCTTGTGATGGTGACCCCAAAAGGGACCATAATTTAGAGAAATGACCATTGGAGCCTTAGGGGAATAAGGGCACGACAGGGCGTCCTAGCCTGAATTCAGGCCCCATCTCTGCCTGAAATGCTGAGACAGAGACTCTACATGGCAGGCCTGATGTCATCCTAAACCCTAAGCCCGAAACCCTAAACCCTAGACCTACACCCCAAACCCAACACCCAGCCCCCAAACCCCTGAACCCGCAACTCCCTAGCCTACAACTTTTCCTCCATGGAAATCGCGACAGCCGAGCTGCGCGTTGTCTGGCAGTGCACCTCAGACATGGAAGGTCAATCAGGGTTGAGGGTTTAAGTCTTGCTAGGAGCACGCAAAGGCTGAGTTTCTAGGAGGAAAAGGATCACTTTTGGGTTTTCAAGGGGCTTAGCACCTCAGCTTTTCTATCTTCTTTTGGTGTTCAGGCTCATATGTTTTTTTCAATTTGCGGTGGTTGTCTATTGGGCTGCCCTGCTGCGGCGTCCATGTCATGTTCTATGAGAAGTATCGCCATTCAGAATTCATTGACCCAGCATCCGTTGTATCATGGTTCATGCGGAATCACAGCGTCTCGGGGGGTTGGGGAACGCTTTCGGATGTAGGTCAGTTTGGGTGTTTTGCTTTCAATGCTGTAGGCTTCAGTACCACACAACAGTCAGAGAGGCCACATCGCAGCTTTTTTTTCTTAAATTGCTGTTCAGCGCACTTAGGGGCTGTTGGGGGTGTGGTCTGGCCTGCTCCCGCATTGAGGGTATTGTTTGCACACGTTGGGGGTTTAGGGTATATTTAAAGGCTTTTCATGTACCCCAAAACCGTGCCCATGGCCCGAAAACCCGCATCCTTCGAATAAACCTCCCAGCCCAAAACCTGAGGGTTTAGGGTTGAGGGTTGAGGGTTTAGGGATACCCTAGAACCCATGGATCCATCATCCCAGGTGCGCGGTGTGCAGTGCAGTCTGCCCGGCGCGGTCGCGGGCATTGCAGCGGGTGAACTCCTGAATTTCGGATCTTCCCCCTTACTCGGAGGTTCGGGGTTTAGGGTTTAGGATTTAGGGTTTAGGGTTTACGGGTACTTATTAGCCAGTTCTAACTGTACTTGTAACTCTACTTCTAACCATATTCGGGCACCTAAGGGGCTTATAAGTGGGTAATAAGTACAGTTATAATTTGCAAATAAATAGCCTGAACCTCCAAAACAGTCCTTCATAGGTTTTATAGTACCCCCGATCACAGTCCCTCTTAAGGACTGTTAGAAGTATAAGGGGAACATCCCAAGCCTGAAAGGGTTCTGGGTCTGGGTTGACCCATGAAAGCCTAATGACCTTAACCTTTAGGGCTTAGGGTTTAGGGATCAGGGCCACATTTGGTTTCACACATGGCAAAACACCAACTCAACGATGAGACCATAATAAGCCCGAACAAAAAACCCACGATCCTTCCCAAGCTGAAATCAACCCCAACCCTTCACATGCCGGCAATCCCTGCAATCTTGTTCCTTGACCCTAGGCAGAAGTCTCTGGACCTTGTGCACCCCTTGTTTCAGCCAAAACAGCCGTAAACACCCCACCCAGGGCCAGAATTTAGGAATTTCCTCAACCCAAAATCGCCTAAACCCCGTAAAACCTGAACCCCAGCCCTATCCTTCCAGGGACCTAATTCTGGCGTCCTTTTTGGGTTCTAGGAACCTGAATACTTGGCCCCTGGAAGGGAAGGGACCTGTCGGAACAACTACTCGTCATGTTCCCTTATGGTCCCTCTACTACTATACAGTCATAACCCCTCCCAAAACCATATTCTAATTATCAAGGCCCCTAAACCCTAAACCCTAAACCCGAAACCCCAAAGGCCCCTAAATCAGAAGCATGGCCTCCTTCACCAGCAACTCCTCCACCACGCTGATCTCGCAGCGGCGCACTGCGCGCTGGAGGAGGCTGCAGCCTCCCGGCCTGACGAGCTTAGGGTTTAGGGTTTAGGGTTTAGGGTTTAGGGTTTAGGGTTGGAGGTTCATGGGTACTTATAACCCCAATCCCTATACCTATATAGTATATACTTGGGCCCTAAAGCTACTATAGGGAGCCTGTTTAAGGCCCAAGGATATACTATATAGGTACATGGACCCTTAGGGAATCATAACTGTACTTATAAGCCCCGTAAGTCCCCTAAGTAGGTTTTAAGGGCACTTATAACCCAATTATAACTGTACTTATTAGCCCCTAAGTAGGTTACAAGGTGACTGAGCATAACCCCAAAGAAAAATGTACTTATAACCCCAAGTGTAAAGTGTACTGACTCAGCCACTAAGTAGCTGTACTTATAAGCCCCGTAAGTCCCGTAAGTAGGTTCTAAGTAGACTTATAATTGGGGTTATAAGTACCCATGAACCTCCAAGAGGGTCCAGTTGAGGAGGGCAGGGGGGGGGGGGTTGGGTTTGGGTTTGGGGTTTAGGGTTTGGGTTTTGGGGTTTTGGGGTTTAGGGTTTGGGGTTTAGGGTTTGTGAAGATCATGGAGATTCGATTGAAAATTGCCGCTGGGTCCGAGAATTTCAGAGCTGCAAGACGATGCCGCTTGAAGCTGACGCGGCAGCAGCAGAGGAACGCTTGGGATAGGTCATCATCGCAGCAGCGACGGCAGCATTGGCACAAGAATTCCCCAATAGAAGTTCTAGAAATGCTCATAATGTACATCAACCAAGCTAACCCTTAACCCTAAACCCTAACACCTACAGGGTGGGGCCCCCTTACTATACTAACTGTAGTTAAGGGACTTATAACCTAACTTAGGGTCCTTATAACCCAATTTAGGGCCCTTATAGCTCTACTTATAACTAGGGGGCCCCACCCTGTAAACCCGGCCATGATGCAAAGAGCAGTAAGTGCCCATCCGAGCAGCTTCAGTTTCACGTCGAGGTCGTCCTCCTCTGCTCCTTCCTCTTTAGGGCTTAGGTGCCTTAAACTAAATGAGGATACTGCAGGAGCCTAGCCCCCCCCCATTCCCCGGCCTCCTAAATACGCGGTTCTAGTCCTTCGGAAGTGTTCATGTACATCCCCCCCCAGGCAGCCATAAGAAAGGACCTCGCAACTCTCACTGGTCCTTCTTCATGAACTTCCCCAGGCGGAATGGCTTGTGCACTACTGTCCTTGGCGGTCTATCTACAACCCCCAAAGCCCCGAGCACACAGCTGCTGCAGCCAAATAGAAAAACAATCCCAAGCTCCAGTGCTCCCCAACAAGGTTTATAGGGTATAGGGGTTAGGATTTAGGTTGCCCAGTAAAAGAGGTGCCCAGGTTTGCTTAAAGGGCTTAGAAGGGGGCCTAAACCCCACCCCCCCCCCACCCCCCCCCCCCCCCCCCCAAAAAAAAAAAAAAAAACAGGAATAAGGGTACTACGTATATTCTGGGCATCCTAGGCTAAACCTGTGCTGCTACTAATGAATTTGCAAAAAAAGCGTCCAAAACTCTAAACCCTAAACCCTGGATGTTAAGAGCATGGGTTGGCTTTCTTTTTGCTTGCACCTTCGGCAACTTAGCCTTGAAGTTCCTTCGCAGCGATCCACAAAAATGTTGGGGTTTCCGGTTTGGGGATATCACTTGGGATGTTCCCCTGTATACTAACAGTCCTGACTAGGGATTAGCACCCCGCGCCCTAGTATAATCCCTACTAAGGACTGTTTAGTATAAGGGCGAACATCCCAAGATATCACAAACCCCTAAGCCCTCAACCCTGAACGACTCTGGGCTCCTTGAGTTGCGACGTGCGGAGCTTCGGGCCTCTACCAGACTACTGGACTCGTTTCCTTGCTGACCATCCATGTAGGTTTAGGGTTTAGGCTTCCCTTTTTTGGGGCACTTGAGTTCATGGCAAGATGAGCATAGAGCCTAGAACCTGACAGTCAACCTGAGAGCTCCAAATCCAAAGCCTATCAGGAGTAAACTGAGCAAACCAGCCCCTTCCTTTCCTGCTCAGAGCCTGGGCACATTTGCAAGCCGTCCTCGCCGGCTTCTTCCACAATCTCTTGCAGATCTGGGGTGTTCAGCGGCTGCATCGCATTCTCCTTCCATTCCGTCAAGTGATCACACTGGAGCTTGCTGAAGTACTTTGGGGCCGAACCTGCAACCCGTCCACCGTCGGGGCCGTCTGATAACAGGGCCGTCAAAAACATGCCATCAACACTTGGTGAACTGGCCATAAGATGATATAGTTGAGTCGGGGAGGGGAGGGGGTGCTTTGGGGCACTGGGTGGGGTGTCGGCTTCCAAGGCTTCGACAACTGCCAAACCACACGGAAACCTGAGACCTCTGTCTGCCTTGGGCAGCCAGTGCCAAAGGTTTTTTGAAGGGTCAGTTTGGGGTTTAGGGTGGCTGGCGGCTCTTAAGGTTTAGGGGGAGCGTGTAATTCTATCAGGCTCAGCCCGACGCGTGTCCTTCTGCGTCATGTAGCCTGGAACGGCGTGCGACTTGGGATTTGGGGTCGGGTATAATACCAAAATCTGTTCACCAAAACCCAAAACCCTCTTCATGGCAGACTAAGTCGTTTGCTGTCTGGACAGTGCGTTCGGTTCAGGGGTTTAGCTTCGGTACACAAATGAGATTGCAGCTGGGGAGGCGGTTCTTGAACATGTGGGCGTGATTTTGCACTAGCGTCCCCTCTTTGGTAAGCTCCCCCAAAAAAATGTTGGAAACTAGCCGCATCTGGTGGCAATCAGCACAAGATTGCCGACAGGACAGTCATCTGCGCCCCAAACCCTAAACCTAAAGCCGTAAGAACTAAGGAGCGATACCAGAGAAGGAAGCTAAGGGCCTGAGACAAGCGAAGCATTGAACATGTGGGAGCTCTTCCAAAATTATGGACCATTCCTGGATACCCTCAATGTAAGTGTCCGCTGTCCGCTTTCTGAATAGGTACCAACAACAGGACCCTGTAGACCGAAGCCCTAAGAAATGTCAACAAACATATCTGTATATATATATATATATACACACATACGTATTGTGTATATGATCTGTCCATGTACATATGGATATATGTGCTTGACGATACTATGCTTGTTCAGCTGTTCATATAATCTCCATATATCCCAAAACCCAGACCCGAAATGCTGGGCGCCCGGGCGCTGGGCGATGAACTTGCCCTGGAAGAGGATGATCTGCTCTTCCGGGGGTATGTCGAACCTTCAGGGTTTAGGGTTTAGGGTTTAGGGTTTAGGGTTTAGGGTTTAGGGTAGCCATCAGCAGGATTTTGATTTCTGAGCCAGAGGTAGAGCTCCTTCTATCGCATCAGGGCTAAATTTGGGAGCCCCATAAAAAACTCAACCAACATGGGCTTTTACAGGGTAGTACAAGGAGAAAGGCGCACACAAACTGAGTCCAAATCAAGAGTAACCTAGGATACAACAGGGTGGGGCATTTTTTTTGAAAGGGTTTTGTAAGGGAATTTAACCCCTGCGAATAAGGGTACTACTGGGCATCCTGGCAATTATCCTCCTGACTTGAGGGGTACGTGGCTGCCCGGTGAACCGACGAGGTTTCCTAAGGAACCTAGGCAGACAAAGTGTGCCCTGCCCTGCTCAATACACTTAAAGGAACAGGGGACTTAGTACGTAGGCACAGAGTTTAAAGTACCCTAAACCCGAACTTTGTAACCTACATTAATAACTAAGTACTACAGTTCGGCTCGATCCAAGTAACCGGCAACCAAAGGGAATCGCGGAAAAGAAGATATCACTGAAGATGCGAAGCCTAAACTTAAATTCCTGAACCCTGAGCCCTAAACCCCAAACCCCCAACCCTAAACCCTGAACCCTAAACCCTAATCCCTAAACCCTAAACCCTAAACCCTAAACCCTAAACCTTTTTTCATCCTGAGCCCCCCCAAGTCGAGCCCTACCAATTAACTGCAGTACGGGGTCTACGCATTCTGCGCGGGTTTAGGGTTTAGGGTTTAGGGTTTGGGGTTTGGGGGTTTGGGGTTTGGGGTTTAGGGTTTGGGGGTTTAGGGGTTTGGGGGCTTGGGGGTTTGGGGGTTTGGGGGTTTGGGGGTTTGGGGGTTTGGGGGTTTGGGGGTTTGGGGGTTTGGGGTTTGGGGGTTTGGGGGCTTGATACGAGGTAGGGTCTTGCCTAATTACTAGTATCCCCAAAAGGACACCAAGTAATACGCCTCACCAATACGTGGAACGAACCCTGAAAGCACTCACCAAAACCTTCAATATGTACCCTGCTTCATATGCGGGTTTCCGGGATTAAGGTTACCTTGTTGCGGTCCTGATTGTTATTTGGAGATCTATATTAGGGGGTCCTCCATTTTCGTAAACCCCCATAGGCCACTTGCCGCTGGGGCGGGGACTCCATCTCGACCCGCTCCTGTGGGGAAGCTGCGAGGGCTCTTTTACCTAAACCGAAAACCCTACCTAAGACCCTAGTTGTATGGGATTATACCTACCAATTCAGGGTATTGACTACTAAAGTGTAGGTAAACGGAGTCCCTGGTAAACCTGTACCTATGTAAGGGTTGTTGTTTATCCGAGGGGAGCTGTCCTTATTAATAAAGACTACGAGATCATCCCAATGGAAGGCTATAGACTAGAGCAAAAACCGGAATGCCTAAACATACCCTACACCCCAAAAAAGCCTAAACTTAAACCCTGCCCCGCTTCGCCACGCACAGCTTGCCGCCAGGCTTGCACACTGTGTCAGTCTGAATGCTAGGGAAACATCCGAATCAAGGGCAACCGCAACTTGATTATATTCCCCTTCGCGCTTGGCATTTGCCACTCATGCACCTTGCAGGGTTTTGAGGCCATCCAAAATTACTTTAGGACAATCAAATCTACTGTCAATAGGCGGGGGTTTAGACAACCCTCTTGTACCGTCCTCTGACATCTGGCCCCTTCGCTTAGTCTACTGCCCGACATTGCTATGTTACCCCTCGCAAAAACTTGGAGGAGTTCGTTCATAAGATAACAAATGAGCGTATTATTAACGAAATGAACTCCTTCTAAACGAGAACTCATAATATAATACGTGCGTGTACGCAACAAGAAAACGCACAAAGGATTTCATTGCTTTCATGGTTTTTATTGTGTATTTCTTTCATTTTCCATTATAAAATTCTTTAATTAGGAACGTAACAACTGAATCTCTAGGGAATACTAATAACTAATTTAATGCACTAAAAGTGAACAAAGATAAAAAGAAGTGAAACGAAGAAAAATATGTAATTTTGTTTTTTTCTATTCTTATTCGTTCATGCTACTTTCATGCTGGTACGTAATGAAGGAGATAAAGGATTCCAGGAAAAGGGCGTCCTTGTGGTCCAACATGTGAATCATGGAATTACCACTCTCTTTATTATAGAAAACCAGAGAATACAATGAACGCATGACATCCAAATACTGGAATTCTTTGCGAAGAGAACTCAACTACTGAATCTCAAGGACAAGTGATCTCTTCACTCACGATAACTCCGTTTAATAGGCTTGTTAATGAAGGTTGCGACCATGTGCTCACGAATTCCATTACAAATTAACTCCTTTCGTATTCACTTCATTTAATTCATTTGTTTCACTTCTTTCTACCTTCGTTCCCTTGTGCATGAAGCCTGAAGATGAAAACTCCTTGGAAAAGCATGAAGGTTATAATGACTTCCTCACCCTCAATATCCTATTCTCTGGGCTTTTAAGGAAGTCTCAAGATGGAATAGGTGCGTGAGGAAAGGGCCCTATCATCCAGAACTTGTCCTAAAGGTAAATCGCTTACTCATTCATCCAACTATAAGGGAACGGTTACACTGTGAGGAAGATTCCGTGAACACAGCTCTCTTATCTTGGGTTTCAAGGACTTTTGGGTCTTCTGGAGCTACAACCTTCGTCTCTTGGTAATTCCTGTACAAAAGGCTTTCCAGGATTCTTCTTTCCTTAGGACCTCTTATTATAGGATCACCGGGGCTTGAGACTTCGTTCCTGTCGCTAACCTCTGTCATTCTGGATCAAGTGTTACACCCTCATGATAATAAAGTAATACCACCTCCATCATGAAGAGCTCTTTGATAATAAAACGAGTGAAACGACGGAGTGAATGAACAGCGTGAGTGAACAAAGGACCTGACCATAGAACCTCCAATCCTCCAAGCCTTCACCCCAAAGCCTGTCCTTCACCTGGCTCACCTTCACCGTCTTCTTCATCTTGACCTTGATCTTCACCCTGACCATTGTCTTGCCGAGCTTTCCAGGGCGGACGGGTTCCCTGCCTCAACCCTAAACCCGAAACCCTAAACCGTGAACCCTAAACCCTAAATCCTAAACCCTAAACCCTGAACCGTGAACCCCAAGCAGCTCCTTTGGTGTTGGTGATCGAGCACGCAGGTTCTAGTCCAGATTGGCTCTAAGGGGGCACTACACAAGCCGGGCCCTGGAGCAACTAGATTCAAGAGCAACCTAGGAAGTAAAAAGGGTAGTTTAGGGTTTAGGGTTTAGGGTTTAGGGTTCAGGGTTTAGGGTTTATAGGGTATAGGTATAGGGTATAGGGTTTAGGGTTTAGGGTTTAGGGGTGCCCTTTTTGGCGTAAAGGGGGCTCAGAAGGGGACCGAAACCCGAACAAGATGGGGAATAAGGGGTCACTCTGCGTACTAGTAAAGCCCCAACTGAGGGTTCCCTGAACTATTTTGGGGTAGTTACATTGCCCCTTCGTATGGGGCCTTGATTCGGGAACCCCTGTGTATACCCCTTCTGTTTACCTAGGCAGCCCATAGGAGGCCCGAAACCCTCAACCCTAAACCCTAAACCCTAAACTCTCTAAACCCCTAAAACCCCTAAAACCCCTAAACCCTAAACCCCTAAGCCCCAAAACCCTAAACCCGAAACCCTAAGTGCAAACACGCCAGCTCCACTCTTCTTCGTGGCTGACATGCTTCCTGGGCTGGTGCCATGGCGACTCAGGCCACCAAGCATAGTGCTGACCCTCCCTACTTGAAAGCTCTTTGAACTTAGTAAGGTTTAGGGTTTAGGGTTTTAGGGTTCAGGTTTCATTATCCTTAAGTCTACGAAGTAGTATCCCCTAGTCCCCTAGAAACCCTATAATCCCCACAACCCAACTTTCTAACCCTACTTACAGCGCCAAAAGGGCCTTCAAGTTGGCCCTAGGAGTCTCCAACCGCAAACGGACCCCTCGAAGGTCCAGCCACCCTCTCATGGGAACAAGTGCCCAAAAACCCTCACCTTGTCAGGGTTTAGGGTTTAGGGTTTAGGGTTTAGGGTTTAGGGTTTAGGGTTTAGGGTCCAGGGTCTAGGGTCTAGGGTTTAGGGTTTAGGGTCCCCACATGGGCGTTTCCGAAATTAAGGGCTTATTATGGTCCTGAGGTAGGCTCTGGAAGGCTTTGGGGTCAACGACAGTTGGACCAGTAGCTCGACTCTACTTTGAGTCCCGATCAAAAAACTCCTCCTTCCTCATGTAATCCCCCAAACATAACTTTGTGAACAAAAGTCTGAACCCTAAACCCTAAACCCTAAACCCTAAACTGCATCTGTGGGGCAGCGTAATTGAGATCATTTCCTCTGGACCTTGGTGAGCTTGCTATCACCGGCGTTTGGCTACTGGCTGGGAAGCTTCAACAAAACCCCTGAGTTTGGGATGTATACTAACAGTCCTTAATGGGGATTTTTGTACCCCCTATTAGAATCCCTATTAAGGACTGTTAGTAGAAGGGGAACATCCCAACCCTAAGCCCCAAACGACGCAACCCTGAGCCCCCCTAAATGAGTTGTGCTCACAGTCTTTAGAGGGTCAGTGCCACAAGGTTTTACACGGGTTTTGGGGTTCAGAGCTAAAGAGGTTTCAGGACTTGGGCAGGAACAAAATAGTGGGTACGTACCCCTAATTGTACCCCAAAGTACTAGAATCCTTCATATAGGAGCCCCCAAAACGGGGTACGCCTTTTTCGGAAACCCCCATTAAGGGGTTCAGAATGTAGGGTGCTTAAGTACGAATCTGAGGAAGCTAAGACCGACGTCCTTGATGGAACGTCGGCCGCGCGCAGGGGTGAATTCTTCGCCTCCATGGATGAAAAGGGCGCCTTTGCATCTTGATGAGCTGCGTGTTGATAGACGATAACCCCTCAACCCTACACCCTAAAACCTAAACCCTAAACCCCCCCAATCTCTAAAGAAGGGAATAAGGGTACTATTCTCAACATCCCATCCTGGCGTATGAGCCTGCGCCCCCCTCTCCACCCAACAAACATCCTTGAAGAAACTTGGGGGGTTTAGGGTTTAGGGTTTAGGGTTTAGGGTTTAGGGTTTAGGGTTTAGGGTTTAGGGTTTAGGGCAAGTGAACCCTCAAAGCCTAGGCACTAGACCCTCAACCCTTAGAGCCCTAAACGCTGGGATTTGTAGGCACCTAGGAAAAACAACATCTGTGGGTTACAGAGGCTTGTAGGGCTTGGGGTCAGCACAGTAGAACTTCAGCACTTCAAACAGCGACTTCAGATCAACCTCAGCAAGTTGGTCCCAAGCTCTTGACATCCGGTCCCCGAACCCAAACTACACCCCAAACAAACTTCGACCCCTAAACACCAACACCCTGAACCCGAAACCAAACAGGTGGCTATCCCCTAAACCCTAAACCCTAAACCCTAAACCCTAAACCCTAAACCCTAAACCCTAAACCCTAACCCCTAAACCCTAAACCCTAAACCCTATCTGGGCCGCCCTGCGATCGCGCGTGGGCGAGGCCGGAGAGGCGGGGGACTTTCGCGCCGCCATGTTTCCCAAGGAGGTCGGGAGTCTGTGTGTTGGGGTTCAGGGTTTAGGGTTTAGGGTTTCGGGTTTAGGGCGCCACTTGGAGGCCTACAAGAGGTTAAGGGTGTAGGGTGTAGGGTTTAGGGCTTGGGGTCTAGGGTTTAGGGTTTAGGGTGTCGGGGTGGGGGTTTCGGGTTTCAGGTCCATGGCTTGGATGGCCATGAGGGCCACATATGCCAGAGAAGTTGACAAGTTACTATTTGAGGATTTCCGAAAGGGGGGGGGGGGGGGGGCACCCTTTTCTGGGTGTCCGAAATGAGGGGCGTCAATTTATATCTGGGGTATAAATTGGCGGGGGTGTTGCCCACGATTCATAAATGCGATGTAGGGCGGTCCTGACACCGATCCTCTTCAACATGGGGGCTGGAGAGTCCTGCTTGCAAGCGCTCGAGCTGCTTCCTTGTGAAAAGGATTGTGTCTGATGGCTGGCTGATGTTGGGCTCGGGTTTCAGCTTGAGCCATGGTTGCCCCCTCATGTCGGCTCGCACTTCAGCGTACATGTCTCTTACATGTTGTCGTATGGTAGCCTGTGGCATCAGGCTGTGCAAGCACCGACACGGCCCCAACAAAAACCTGAGTGAGCGTGGCTCAAAAAGATTCAGGACTGCTTCCAGCTGAACTGAAGGCTTAGTAGTCTCTGACCCTAAACCCTGAACCCTAAAACCCTGAACAATCCCTTCGTCGTCCCTTGATCCCCCTGGCATCATTCGTTTCTTCTCCCCCCTTTGTCCTGTCGCAAGACAACGCGTCGACTGTACGGTCTGGCCTCGGGCGACTGCACAGCCTCTGGCATACTGGGTTCCACCGAATAGGGCTTGACAAAAAAAACTCTTCTGCTAGTGGTTTTAAAAACTCTGTTCTGTTCTGTTTTTTGGAACCCTCTTCTGCTAGGGGTTATCCCTCTTCTGCGCTGCTGTTGATGTTGCCATGGTTTCTGGGGTTTAGGGGTTAGGTCTTCGGGTCAGGCTTCGGGGCAATGGGCTATAGGTAAAAATGGACTTTGCTCAAGAGGCCCACAGGTTGTCGCATTGAGCTTTCTGATCACATTATCCTCCCGTTTTCGGCATACCGCCCTAAACACTCAACCCT